GAACACTAAAAATATACGCAGTAAAAAAAATCAGCAAATTTTCGTTGCCTGTCATATATATATATATATATATATATATATATATATATATATATATATATATATATTATTATTAATAATAATAATAATAATAATAATAATAATCAATTAATTAATTAAAGGATATCAAACACATAGGTAATAATTTTGCTCTCCCAGGATCTATATCCTCCTTGAAATTCCACACGAATCACCATATTGAACAATATATATATATATATATATATATATATATATATATATATATATATATATATATATATATATATAAGTGAATATCGGAGTCAAGACTCAGTGGCGACAAGCTGTTTCATACTACGCGCAATCGTCAGGCCTCGAATGTTGAATTTTCCCTCGACTGTTTATATATATGGGTCAGTGTTGCATTGTGACACTTCTTAAAACTATATTTCTTCACATATATATATATATATATATATATATATATATATATATATATATATAAGTTGCTATTACTGAATTCTACGCGAACGTCTAAGGGACTTTATGTTTTAACTAGGTTCATAGATAAAGGTGTTTTTTCGAATGTGTTTTTGAGATAAACAATTTCTTGTTTGTTTTTCGTTAAAATAAAAATATTGTCTACAAAGCGGACATGTTTAAATATCGTGTTTTCTACGTGTGGCATGTAGTAGTTTGTGAAGCATGGGTGTAAAATTAATGACAATGACGAAAATAAATTTCATGTGACGGGTTTTGTCCTTTAGGACTTCAGAAGTGTAAAGTAAACTTACGTTGCTATTATTATACGTGCACAAGTAGGCAAGGGATCCTGAAATTTTAAACTTTTAATTATGTTTTGTAATAAGTTTGCGTACATAGACTAAACAATTTCATTTGTTTTGTTTTTTTTTATATATTTTTATCCCTGTTGTTAAGTATCCCGCATAGGTGTGATAGATCTGCCAAAAAAAGCTGAAATGTATATAGAAATTTATATCTGGTATATAAAAATGTATATATCATTTTCTCTCACACATTGTAATTTCTTTCTCTGATTTTTATCTTATATTTATTATATCGCATTCTACCCTTGGCGTTTTCCCATTCATACTTTTTAGTTTCCATATAGAGGGTGCGATGGATATATTATCGTCTAAATGACGCAAAAATAAAGAATAACACTGACCTCTCATTTTAACAGCTATATTTACCAAAATTACACAAAAATATCTGGAAATACGAAAGAGTAAATTTATTCAATAAAATCGCCATTGACTTCAACCACAGCCTCCAGATGACTTCCGAATCTCCTGCAACACCCCTGGACGGTCTCCTTGTTTAAGTTGGTGAATGCTGCTATAATCCTTGCTTTCAGTTGATCTTTGGTATTAAACGGAGTTTTACTGGTCGCTCGCTCAACTTTGCCCCCCACGTAATAATCAAGTGGGTTGCTGGACAGATATAAGGGGTGATGTTGTTGCAGAAATTGTCTGAAAGTCATGACTGGTTTCTCTTGCTTGTGTGGGAATGAGCAGAATCCTTTTGCCAGACATGGTGTCATCCAGCAGCCAATGTCTTGACTCTTGACCAAGGGCAGCACTGCCTCCTCAAGGCACTTGACGTAGCCCTCTGCGTTGAGTCTGTGACCCCGCGGGGAGATGAATGAAGACGTAACGTCGCCATCAGTAGTGATCCCTATCATGATGTTGACTGGATATATCATCTAACTCAAACCGAATCCTTTGCGTTGAGACCCAAACACTCTGAAATCTTCATATTGGAGATTCCGGCGCGAATGCCAATCTGTACATCATGCCGTTCCCAAATTTCTGGTGGAGTGAATTGCGAATTGGTGGTCTTTTTCTTCACAGACTGTGCCTAACTGACTTTAATATACTGTGCAGTCGACAAAATCAAAAACACGTAATGCGCATGCGCGAAAAAATGGCAAAAATTTACCTATCCCACCCTGTATCTCTTGACAGTATGGAGTTATTTCTGTATCTTTCATCATATACATATATATGCAGATGCATGCGTGTGTACGTATTTAATTTTTTATTTCTTAAAGTTTAAATTTCT